ATTTTAGAACTTTTAGATCGGTTTAGATCAGTATTAGACACGTTTTCACCTGGCCCATCGTACCCACATTTCGTATCCAATCATAGAAAAGTTAAGCAGCAACGACTGCTTTACCCACTTCTCGCCTCAGTCGAATGTACCGACCGATCAACTTCATCTTTGCCAAGCTGTGCACGCTACCCTTTATCAGTCTCGATAACTTCGAGGCTTTCGTACTCAACTCGAACGCACTTTCCATCTCATCTTGTAGACGCTCGCTGGATCCCTCCTCCGTTGAACTGGACTGATTCGACTGAAATTCATCGAATACCCACCGAATCGCGTATCTGCAGTTCAAGCGAGCAATCTCAGCCGCAGTCCGACCAGAATTGTCAGTTATATCCACAGCAGCTCCGTTGACAAGAAGCAGACGAACAATTTCTTCGTGACCCCGATACGATGCCTTCATCAATGGCGTTTGGGTTTCTGAGTCTGTCGTATTCACATTTGCTCCATGATCCAATAAAAGACGCACGATCTCCAAATGGCCCTCCTCAGCAGCAAGCGTCAAAGCTGTACGCCCGTCATTTGTTGCAGTGTTTACCTCGGCTCGTTTCCCCAAAATAAGTGTCACGATGTCAGTGTGACCCAATTGTGAAGCCATGATAAGTGGTGCGATTTCTCACATTAACAACAACGACATGGTCCAATAGTAGCCGAACTGCCTCGGTTTGTCCAGCCAGCACAGATTCATGAAGTATGGTATCACCACCATTATCATTTGAATTCAGGTTTGTTACAGAAGGCAACAAGAGCTTGAAAGCCTCAGTATGCCCATTCCCGATCGCATTTTCAAGAACAGAGCAGCCACTGCTGCCTGCCTGATTGGCATCAGCTCCATGATCCAGCATCAATTGAATACATTGTATATTTCCACCAAGCGCACCAAACCACAAGGGCGTATCTCCCGTAGTCGTTTTGATTTTCACTGAAGCACCAGCATTCAAGAAATTCCACCACTTGAGGGTGTTTGTTTTCAGCAGCCAACATCAACGGGGTATTGCCATATATATCTGATCGATCGATGGTGGCATCGTGAACTATCAATGTGCGAACAGCTTCTAAGTGACCGAACATTGACGGTAACATGATTGCTATAGATCCATCTTCCGACACTGCATCAACATGAGCTCCTCCTCGTAAAAGAACCTCCATGACATCAACATTCCCAGTTTGAGCAGCAACAGCCATTGCTCGGAACCGCCGTTGTGACGAGAGTCGCGACCCGCTGAATGAAGCTCAGACGGCGCGAGCCAAAAGAACTTCAACCTCATACACTCCGCCGACCACAGGTGCCAGTCCAAAGAAGAAGAAGAAGTCGAAGTCGGGAAAGAAAAAGCTGAAGGCTCCGGACTCGGACACGGAAGATCATGATGAGTGGACGTGGACCGAGGAAGAACATAGATCTTCCACAAGAAGACCTCTTCCCGTTCTTACTTGAGGATCCGGTGATGAAGATCCTTCGCCCGATGTTGATCAGAGTACTCCACGGCCCGGCGATGCCAACAACGGAGACATCTCGACAGTTGGAGGCCGCAACACAGCTCCTTCGCACACTCAAAGACCCTGGCACCATGCCATGGGCATTCAGCGCATATAAGTTGTTCGACCTGGAGACGACGGTGATCCACCGCTCAGTGACGTTGCTATACAACAAGCCGGAGCCACTAGTTGGATCAGTCACGCTACCGGAGTCAATCAAGTGGACACCGGTCCGCAGCCCGGAATACCAAACAGGGTCATCACAATACGCATCGGCTACGTCCGAAGCCGGATCAGACAGTTCGGGCGATCTGGAAGCGTATGACTCTTGGTCCGTCAGGAGCAGCGATGCTGCTGGATCGCCAGGCTAACGCCAAGTCGGGACGATTTTCACGCGAGTCGACGTCGACCGTAATACCAGCACGAAGTCCCGAACAGATGCAGATGTTCTTCAACACGGCGATGAACCGATACCTCAAAGAGAAAAAACGGGAGGATCGAAGTCGACGGCGAGTGAAACATGACAGAATGCCCAAGACGTGGAAATAGCGTCCGTCGAGTCGTACCACGACTCGCACGACGAATACGATCCAGGCAACTTGAGCATTGATACACCGCAATAGTCGCATCCGCAGGAGCTGCAGGACCGACATCCACCTCGTCGACGACGACGCCCAGGATCCGAATATCCGCGATATTGGAAGTGAAGGAGTACTCTGGCAAAGACCAGGACGAAGATCGCTCGAGGAGCTGGCTGGGCAAGGTGAAGTCCGCGTTTGTCTGAGATCAAGCCCCAGACAGCGAGGGGTGCTTGGTGCTGGGCGATCTGCTCACCGGTCTAGCGCGCAACTGGTATCGACAGCTGAGTCGATCAACCTGAGGCAATTGGAAAAGCTTATTGGAAGCTTTCCAGACGCAATACTGCGGGAGAGTAGTTTCTGTCGCGAGACAGTCCTACCACGCGAAGGAGCGATCAGACGAGTCGCCCATGGAGTTCCTCCACCGACTCAGTGGGGCGACATGCGAGCGAGGCTGCAGATCAAGGATAGCCCAGCACCACCCGAGGCGAACCTGCTGAACACTTCATCGAAACGATGGATGATCACGGTCTGGCCGACCAACTGGCGCTGCTTCGGTTGACGGACGCGGAAGATCTGAAAGAAACCCTACGAGCCCGCCAGCGCGAAAGCCCGTCAGGGCAAAGCCCACGCCGGATCAAACGAACTCCGCCAGAAGTCGACGACCGAAAATCAGTCCCTGCGGGCGAAGAATTCGCGAGTCGTGCGAGCGATCCAGAAGGTCGAATACAGCTGTGGGTTGGAATCCGACGCAAGCGAATCGGAGCAAGAAAATATGCCGCCGGGTGTATCTCGCAGAATAGAAGGAGCGGGGAATCCAAGCACCGCCGCCGGCACACTAAGACAACACCGACCATATCCCAGTGTCACAGAAGAACTGTACCCACTGAGGGTCCACAAAAAACGACAATCTGGGATGTTGGAAGCGACTGACGTGCCAGAAGTGTGGGCGGAAGGGACACCCATTCGACCACTGTATCTTCGTCTGACCCGCATGCGGAGAGATGCACGACTCCCGGAAATGTCCAATGGAGCAATTCTACAATCCGATCCTCCAGTGGTATGTACCGAACAAACATGCAGGAATTTTGCCAGTGAACGCGGAGATGATGGTAAATTAGAACGCTCGCCGGGGTGGAATCTGGTACGAGCCGAGCGTTCTGAGCTATGTATTTTTGCTTACGTCGAGAAGACAGAAAAACGGGAGGTTAGTAAGCAGATCGACAATACAATGTGAATTGCACAACAAGCCTACCTTTGCGATCGCGGATGTGAGGAAGGACGATTACTCCCGCACAGATGTGGTCATGGAAATAGATCTGCTGCCTGGGGAGGCAAGATGATACTGGAAGTACCATGCTCCCGGCAAGTGATTCAAACAGGCCAAGTCTACAGCCAAGATCAACAACGAGAGGGCCACGCTACTCTTTGACTCCGGCGCGGAGATCTCAATTGTGGTTTCCACCTTTGCTCGTAAGGTGGGATGCACTATAGACAACGGTCAGAGACAAGAATGCGTGGGGATCGGAGAGAATGCATACATGAACGAAGGACGTACCCGCATCAAGATCACATTCGCAGGAGCATAAGTATACTACTTCGACGCATGGGTCGGCGACTTGTCGGGTCAGGAGGCGATCTTGGGGATGGACTTCATGGTCCCGGCAGGCATCCGTCTCGATCCGGCCGATGGGTCATTGTGCCTCCCAGACTAGTAAGAATTCAGTTATCTGGACGTCAGCAGCTCTTCAGCGGAAATTTGGGACTGATCATGTTCGACCAACACCGTAACGTTCCAGTGGCAGGACCGTGGACATCGCAGTCCGGAGATTGCTGTCGGACAAGCGGAAATTGTGGTTACTCGCGCAGATCGATGGGTCCCGACGGTGGTTAGAGGATTAGGCCGGACGCAGTATCTACCGATCAGGAACGTGTCAGATCAGCCAATAACGCTGCAATGCGACACCACTATTCGAATCTAGTTAGTGGGAGATCGCGGACTCCGGGATACGTTACGGTCGGATCCCGAAGATACGCAGAATGGAAGAACCTGGCGTTCCAAGCCACCACCGACGAAACACCGATGGAGGGATCGAACGAAGTCATGGCTGAGCCGTTGGTCTACAAACCGCAGTACCATGCACCGACAGAGATCTTGAAGAAGAAGCCGAAACCGCGGAAGCTGATGTTGATCCAACCATCACCCTGCGTGGGGACGAAGATCGAAGAACCGGAGACAGGAGGCGGTGAACAACTAAAACCTGAACCGGATGATGCAGATCACATCGCCACAGAAGACATGAGAGTAGGCCAGGAAGGGATCGCACCGAGGGACCAGGCGGATAAACCAGCTCAGAAGACCGGACCACCCGAAGCGCTGGTGAAGCCGGACAGGGAAGTCGACGACGACATGGATGTCGCCGTATGTAATCACGAGGGAGGAGACATCTTCCCGGAAGACATCGAAAACCACATGGCGGTATTGCAGGAAGCCACCATGGGAGAAGTCATGATTGAAGATATCTGGGTGGAAAATCCCGACGTGACGCCGGAAGAGTGCGAACGGCTACGTTGCATCATAGGGAAGGGGCGTCACCTCTTCATCGAAGATGGAAACGCACTGCCCCCCCCCGCTGCACATGGAGCAATCTGCGATATTGACGTCGGGAACGCGAAACCGGTAGCACAACGTTGCCGAAGAGTACCTCCACAGTTCCGTGAGAAGTTATCCATGCTCATCAAGGGACTGCTGTCGGCGACGATCATCGCTCCATCAATCTCACCTTGGGCGTCACCAATAGTGGACATCATCAAGGCCAACGGCGTGGATATCCGCCTCTGCATCGATTACCACGTGGTAAACAGCTTGACAAGGCTGATGTGTACCTAATACCGTTGATCAACGATCTTCTCGAGGACTGGACAAGGTGCTTTGGTATTGCTCCCTTGACATGGCGAGTGGATTCTGGGTCGTGTCCATGACGCCACGGGGGAGACTGATCTCAGCATTCATCACACATTCATCACACGATTCGGGTTATTCGAGTGGCCAAGGATGCCGTTCGGTCTGAAGAACGCTCCGCAGATCTACCAGCGGATCATAGACAACACCCTATATAGGCACTTGCGCATAAAGCCCGACCAAGATAAGACAGTCGATGTGTTCGAGGAGGGAGAGCCCGAACCAGAACCCAAACCGTCGATCTTGGGGCGGCGATCGTACGTCGACGACATTCCCGTGACTGGAGACACGTGGGACAACATGTGCAACATGGTCCAAAATCTGCTGGACGTATGCGACAGCTGGAACTTATCGATCAGTGTAGCGAAAAGCTACTGAGGCAGACGCAAGGTGACCTACTTGGGGCACCAAGTGTCGACAGACGAGTTGAAGCGAAACCGAAGGATCTTGAAGCCTTCTCGAATCTCCCTTCCCCCAACAAGCTGAAGTCGATGCAGTCGTTCCTCGGAAGCCTGAATTACTACAGCCGCTTCATCGAGGATTTTCCAGTCTATGCAGCGACCTTTTACGAGCTTCGGGAAGTGGATTACTACCAGATCCCACCGTTGAAGTCGACTGGAGAGCTGGAGGAAGGGACAGTACCAGCGGACGAAGAACGCGATCGCTGCACGAGCTATGAATGCGTCCACCATACTCAAAGCGAAGATCATCTCCACCCTGATCGTTAAGCACTTCGATCTGGGGCGGGCGCCAGTCATAGTCCTCTATGCTAACAAGTGGGCAATCTCGGAGGCTCTAATGCAGGAACACGGCGGCGTGTATTGATCAATAACCTTCACCAGTCGGACGCTGAAGGCCAACGAATTGAACTATGGGATCGTAGACAAGGAGGTCCTGGATCTTCCTCGCACGTTGGACGTTTGCTACTCGTAATTGGTCACCAGATCGATCAAGGTGCTATTGCGTTTCTTCATGCTAGCCTAGCGCCTGAAATCAAATGGGCTAGACGGGCGTTTGGGCAGGTGGGCCGCATTGCTGTCTGGCTGGACACTGGAAATTACGAAGTGTTCCAAAGGCGAAGAGGAAATTCTTGGGGCGATCGCTGCGAGCTTCCCTCCTCGAGTAGATGTCTACGAGGCCCTAATCACAATAGCCTTGAAGAAGCAACCCCGGAAGATGATCGCCATGATTCCCCCAATCGTAGAACCGGAGGAGAGCCTGTTGGTGGCGAGTTTTGATGGATCAGCGAGAGGGAAACGTGCAGGAGGCGCAAACAGTGCGATCCTCTGGAAACTCCCCTAGTGGACGATCCTCGAAGCGATGTCTGAACACATGCCTGATTTATAGATTTAACAGTGGACAAGGCGGAGTACAGGGGATTACTTCTGTGTTCCGATCTCATCTCGACTCAAGCCAGGGGCGAGTCGTGTTCTGTGGTGACTCCAACTTGGTGATCCGCCCGATGATAGGCGAGATCGACTGTAAGGCGCTAGATCTGCAGCTGTTACGTCGGAACGCGTTGAACCAACTGCGATTTCGGCCGAAGCCTCGTAAAGGGAGATTGGAACCAAAGTGCCGGCAAGCTCACCAGTGCCGCGTTGCAGCGTGAAGAAGGCGAGATCGTGACAGCAGAGGGAGAACGGCAGGACTTGATCACGCTGAACAGATTGCACGAAATGTTGCAACCAATGTAAGCAAGATCAATGACTCGTGTGAACGCGGTCACTCGATCTACCGTAAATCGGATTCTGCCACCGGCAACGATGGACGAATTTATTGCTCGACGCATACGAAGTCAGCAGATCAAGCAAGCACAAGACGAGGAGAAGTGGATCGTAGATCTAATGGCGTACCTGAAGGGTGACCAGAACGGTCTATCGAAGGAAGATGCGAAGACGTGCTCGAAGACCGCCGCAACGTATGAAGTAGACGAAGACGAACTGTTGTTTTATTGCCCGAGGGCCTTGACACAAGACGAAGCTCGCGACGATGTCGTCACACTGGTGATACCGGAAAGCTTGCAACAGAATTTCGTTCACAATTACCACTCGAGCCTGGAAGGATGTCACCAGGGTGTCGAGAGAACATACCGTCGAATCCGGACGCGTTTTCGCTGGCGTAATCTGTACCGAAGTGTCCGGCGCTACGTATTGGTATGCACAGATTGTGAGACAGGGAAAGGGAAACCCACAGATCAAGGAAGATCGCCGGGGAATGTGCAAGGCACATACCCATTCCAGGTCATATCCATGGACATGGACCACATTCCGTCGCTACCGAAATTCTATAAAGGGAAGACGGAGTTACTGATCTGGGCTGACCTGTTCACCGGATACGTGATGACCAAGGGTGAATCATTGCGGGGAGCCCAAGCGGTGGCGAAAACTACGAGAAGTGTGTCTTCAGGCGGTTCGGCCCAAGTGAAGTACTCAGGCACGATCGGGAACCGGGATTCATGGAAGATTTTTTTCCGCGGGTTTAATCCGATTGTGAAGTTGAGGCAAAGTCCCGCCATGGCCTACCGCCCACAGGGTAATGGAAAAGCGGAGTGAACGGTGCAAACACGAGAGCGCTGAGGATGTATGTCTCCGACGTCAATCAACAGGACTGGGATGACTACGCCGAACATTTGACGTTTGCCCTCAACACGGCGCAAGATCGGGTGCAGAAGGACACCTCCTTTTATCGGGTGCATGGGTGGGACGCAAGATCAACGCTGGAGGCGACGCTCCTTATCGGATCCACAAGGCGGAAAGACAGCGACGCCCACCGGTGGAGGTATCGTCTGCAATCGCAATATCAACGGGCGAGAGAAGTGGTGAATAGCGATCTCCTGAAGGCGATAGAAGCCAGAGCTACCCAACATAACGATCGACCACAAATATGGCTCTACCTGGACCCGGTGAAGGAAGGGTTCGCGAGGAAACTGGCACACATGTGATATGGCCTTTTTCGTGTGACCGAATTCGTCGGTGATCATGCAGCACGGTAGAGACTAGTGAGACAGAATACCGCATTTTCCATGTGGTGCACCTGTCGAAGTTGAAGCTCGTGAAGGCGATCCCCGACCGCCCAACATACACACTGCTGGCCGAGGAAGGAGGCCGAGTCGACTTCGATGAAGCTCTACTTCCGGAGGACATCTGGAAGACGCCTTTGGACGAAGCCGAATTCGGGGTGGAACGGATCGCCGACGTGAGATCTGGACTCCGTGCGTGATATGGCCTCGTACACCGAGAGTTCCAAGTGTTTTGAAAAGGCTATCCCGAACCCACGTGGGTGGACGAGGCTGACCTCAACTGTGGGGCGCTCTTGGCTGAGTTTGAACGAACTCAAACGAACCGTAGTCGGTTCAACGTCATGCAGTCGCACAAAGAGGCGTCGGACAACCTTTAACCGAGAGACGGTGCAGGCGGAGAGAAGAAGAATATGCAGGATGGGTGCACATTGGGTGGAGGGTACATGTAAATGTCTGACAGTCATGTTGAATTAGTTTGCTGAGCCTAACGGAGGCTCGTTACTAAAGGAGGAAACAAAAACGAAGAAGTGGAGTGGATCAAACCCGCACGCAGAGCCAAAACTCAGAGATCTCCCAGAGGAACGAACTTGCCAGGCAATCGGGGAAGCTGCAATCGAGGGTGATCTTGAATCTGGGCGTGGTATTGATTGCGCCAGGGTTCCGCACCGTCTACCTCGCGCAGCGCTTAGACCAGGTTGGCGGGTTGCGAGTCGTAGCCCAACCTTGGATACCACACGAAAGTCTCCTCACGCCGAGGAAAGTGCAAGAAGTACGGATCCAGAAAGATGTTCAAGTCACACACTCCAGCCTCGCTGCAGCGCAGCACGTACGGCAGGATTTTTTCCACGCGGCCCCTAACCGGGAACGCCGCTGCTTGCGACCTGGGTACAGAGTAGCGAAATAAGCTACCGCGTCAGACTCTCAGGAATAGGGAAGGTGTGAGAGAGCTCCCACAAAGCCTGCGCGTACTTGACCTTCAACTCACTCCACCGATGTGACATAACCCGAGATAGCGCATCTGGAGGCCCGTCGACCACGAAAGAGACAGGCTGCACTGTAACGGCCAACACACGCCACGGCACCGAGGAATACACGGCGGAGACGTTGCCCTCGTCGATCAGCCCTCACTCCAGTCGTGACAAGCAGGAGGACTCGCCTTCGGATGAAAGATCCAGGAAGGATGCTTGGAAAATCATTGAACAGTAGATCGACGGTCAACTCCGACAAGCTCATTTTAGCGACCTGAGAGACTCGCCAAGGCTCCACGTAGGCCACGGCCAGAGTCGCACGAACGCGATAACCTGAGATCCAAAGTGCTCGATCCACACGAGTGGCGGGCAGCGCTAGAAACGCTTCCGAAGAGATCAGAGGACGCCACGGAACGGCCGAAGACGCCTCATTAGTAGCAAGGCCCGAGGCAGCCGGACGCGCAGACGAAGCGAGATTGTCGCCGTCAGGCGGTATATCGTCAGCTCCGGCATGAGGTCCACCCTGACACGACGAAGTGACATCACCAGATCCTCGTCTGTGAGATTCGCCATCCCCACCGACAGAACCCGCGTCGGACTGGGTACCACGGTCAGAAACGTGACCCACAACGTCGCCTGGGGCGGATCCGGTAGGGTCGTCAGGATCTCCACCTTCGTGATCTCCGTGGCTAGGCCCACAGGCGTCGACCTGGGCAGCTTCGCCGTCAGGATCGGAATCTTCGCTGCTGGAACTCTCGCTGCTAGGCGAAGTTTCAACCTCTATGGGTTGGTCCACCGTGGATCCACCTGAACCACGTGACGAACCGGAGCTACGCCAATGATCAGACCGAGATCGAGACAGAGCAGCCAACACCGGGTCATCTTTGCTCGAAAACGAGCGAACCTGGTTGGAAGAGGAGCGCCGCCTGCTCCCGCCACGAAGACGTCACCGAGGAGTGGAAGAGGCACTCCCTGCAGAGCGACCGCCAGTCGAGTTACGCCGCGCTGGAGATTGTGTGCGGACGGGAGCCTCTGCACCTCGACCTGGCAAACTGGGGGAAGAGGGACTTCCAGACGCTGGAAGCGAAGTGCCTTCGGGCTCTGAAGGCCGTTCATGAGCGTTGTCTCCACCGGACGCTGCCGACGCGGGGTGAGATAATGAACGTCGGGACTTGAAAGGCGCGGGAGACGACTCTGGGGGTTGAGTCTGGCGGCGCTTGCGAATCGAGGCTGTGATAGGCCTGCTCTGCGAAAAGACTGGTGCTTGTAGGATGTGGCGCACCGTAGTCACGAGTGACCTGATCGCGCTGATCTTCAGCAACGCGCCGACCAGATTCCGTATCGGCCTGCGCACGACTTAACGACGCGATCTCCCCGGTGGTAGCCGTAGAGCGCGCCTCAAACTCGGTGTCATCCACGTGGAGTTCAGTGACGCGCTGTTCGAGACCTGCGCTAGTGGAACGAGTGGACGAGATATGGGTCTCTGGAAGCACATAGAGACTTAGTCAGGCAGATGGATCGTACCCCAGTACAAGCCTCACCTGAAGCCTTGAGATTAGCGATGACGTGGTTCCGGGTTCGGTTGGTAGAGCGCAACTCAGCCGCCATGCGGGTGACCCCAGCATTGGCAGCAGCAGCATCATCGCTGAAGCGGTCGCGATCGGCCATGGCTTGGTCCAGCCGAGCCTGAGCACGGGTGAGTTTTTTTTTCAGGACGGAAATGTGCTGCTGGTTCTGACTGATGAAATCCTCGAGCGCTTTTTGAGCCACTTCGTGCGCCAAAACGGTGGCACTGGCGCTGCCGAGGGCCACGTCACGGGCAGCCACGATGTCTTAAGTGAGCTGCAACCCCGCCTGAATGTCGTCGCGGGACTGTCGCGCGTTCACCAGCTCGCGCTGTAGCGTCATCAGGCGCCGCGAAGATGGGAGAGCTTGAGCTGCTCGTGTGGAAGCCTGCCGAGAAGTCAAGTGGTCGATCTCGCGATCGAGGCGGCGACGATCCTCAGCGTGATCTTCGAGCGGGCGAGCAAGACTCCGACGAGCAGCCTCCAACTCGATGACGTTGTCCCGGCGGTCCTGAAACGCGTCCAGAGCATCGCCAAGGGACCCACAGAGTTGCTTGAGTTGCGCAAGGGCAGCGCCACACTTGCACTCCGCTAATTCCACGAATGGTCGCGCTGCCGCTCAGCCGTCGCTGACCTCTTGCTCCAAAGCACGGATCCGGGCCTGTTGACCCCGATACAGCGCCTGCAAATATCGGTGGTCGTCATCGAGCGATTGCAAGGCCTCCGCACGCTGGTGCGACAGCGCCAGCAAATCCAGCGCTTCATGCGCAGCGGAGCGTCAAATACCGGCACGGCAACGGACACTGTAGGGGGTACGGCGGTACCAGCAGGACTGAAAGCTGCAAATAAGAAAGACATTAGCAACCTGCATGCGGTCTATGCTGCACGAAAGGATGAGAGAAGGTAGGGACACGTACCACGCGCTGTGGTGGAAGATATCGTCGCAGTCGGAGGACGCTCCTGCTGGGTGGTACCAAGGATACAGGCCCGAAGGAGAGGCATCGGCGAGAGCGCGAGAAGACATTACCGGCGATCGGAGTTTTCTCGTTTGCGATCCACCAGTTAGGGTTCCGCGTACAAAGAGACCGCTGTACGGCCCCGTTGAACGCTTGGAGCGGCTATGGTGAAGCGAGATCAAGGAAATTGCGATTGATGGGTCTTAATCGGCGACTGAGGTCTGGGACATGACTTAAGGAATCTACTGCAACATGTCTCATGGCGAGACAATCTGGTGTGAAGTACAAGAATCAGACCAACAGGTATCGGCCTCGATCTACCAGTTTCAATCTACACCGAAGATCGAAGAGGTAGATCAAAGACCGAAGAACGAAGGTTGAAGATCGAAGAGTGGGAAACATAGATCTAGGATCACTGATTGGAGGTCCTGGACCAAGGATCACAAATCGCGGATTGAAGATCGCAGATCGATGTTCGCAGATCGCAAATCCAGGATCGCAGATCGCAAGTCGAGGACCGTTGGGGAATGTACGCAGTCCATGATACAAGGCGAATGTTGCTGATATGGGTACAAGGACGCGGTGATTATGGCACATGTAGGTACAGTTTTTGACAGAATGAGTGGCTGTACGGAAAGGCTAGGGAGAGATAGACAGACTTCAAAATATTCTTTGGACCTCTCACATTGGACCCCTTCTCTTCTTAAGCCACGTGGCACTCCATACCAGGCAGGGAACGTATATTGGCCCTCCTGACGACCAAGGAGACACCAGCGCACACAAAGGGAAGACACAAAAAAACCCTAGATCACTTGGCTAGGGAGTGATCACCAACTCCCCTCAAGATCCCGTTATCGGAAGCGGCAAGCAACGGAAAGGAACACAACAACTACACACAAGGACACGTAGATCAATCATTTGACCTACACCCACATCCGACACCGCGTGAAGAAGTAACCGCGCGGCAGTCAACAATCCCAAGTACCGTCCATACGGTCCCCAAGATCGACAACCAAGGCATCCTCAAGTCACCGGAAGAGTGCAACCCCGCCTACACAAGGTGAGAAAAACCTCAGCGTCAGCGGACATTCGGAGTACCCCCTCCGTTAGTCGGTCGTCCGAGGCACTGTAGCGAGCGGGACAGCGGCAGCCAGCAATTTTTACCAAGCCACTTCGCCACATATGCTCCCATGTAGTTTCGATAAAAAGAAAAACAGTTTGCTGAAGGCCTTTGAGAGGGACCAATGCTGTCCGTTCCAAGTAGAAAGTGCGCCTGTTAGGCGGAAACCCAGCAAGCAACTCCCTCGGCCAACCACTAAGATTGCATCCTTTCATTGCTGATGCATTCTACCGACCTAACCGTGTAATCTATGACACGGTAGCCCCCGCAAGCTCAGCCATTCTGGCTCCAGACCAATGGGTGCTATGGGCCTTGCCTTCGATTGTATACCGAGCGCGGAAAAAGGTTTTACAGTGGCGTCGTACTGAGAACGGTACGTCATCGCTTTTATTGCAACTTTACGTGACTTGAGAACCTTAGCGTTCTACCATTGGGATGAGTCCAAGAAATTAGGAATGTCTTCCATTTTCATAGCCCAACGAAAAAAGAAGTAAAACCCGAGCTCCGATAGGGTAAATCTCAACATTGTAATGCATTATATATGATCCAAATTCACAACGTCCATACGGATTCGTTTTGAAATGTTCCTTGATCATAACTAACGCTCGGCAATCGTTTAAGCCGTCATTCTCTAAAATAACACTGAAACGATCCGGGAGTTTCAGGTTAAGTGCTGACTCGCCTCTCAACAGACAAGCATGACACAAGAAGTGACACTTGCACTTTCGCTAATCAGGACCAGTATTCAAATTCATGTAGTATCAAGAT